TCTAGAGGCAAGGGCGTCGCGGAGTAGGGATTTAGCGGTTCGAGGTAAGTAATGATTATAAATCTTGTCCTGAGGGTATGAAACCCCGGATGTTACATCGTTGTACTGCTTTGAGGTGACGCACATGCTAGGTGACGGGCGTGTGTGCGTGCACCGTTGGGGATTGTGACTTGGTCCACCCCGTAGCAACTATTAAGTTGCGTATTTGACCGAAACTATATGATACTTATGTGTTTTAGAAAGAATTCCTATACATTGGGCCGAATGCCATATTTGGGCCTCGTGCCAAAGCTGTTTGGACCCTTAGGGGCCTTTTCTTATTATTCTCTCACTGTTTTGACTTAAAAATCTATACTCAGTCATGCTATGTTACTGATCTCATAACTCAATTTTTATTACCCGTTTGATGCTTATAAAATGTTATTTTGGGCTGAGCACCCTGTTTTTCTTACTGATAGCCCGAGTGGCTTGAGAGATTCATGACTGAGTGAGGCCGAGTGCCTGATTGTGAGATATTGAGACTATGACACGTGAGTTGTCCGTGCAGCACGTGAGTTGTCCGTGCGGATTCTGATATTATAGTTATAGCACGTGAGTTGTCCGTGCAGCACGTGAGTTATCCGTGTGAATTATAGCGCTTGGGCTGTAGGAGCCTCTTCGGAGTCTTCACACCCCCAGTGAGCGCGGGTACCCTGAGTGAGTGTTATGAGTTATGCCCGAGGGGCTGGTTCTGAGTGATGTTGTGCCCGAGGGGCTGTTTATGATGTCCATTACTTTTACTCTCATTTGATCTGAGTCTCTGCTGAAATTGCTGAAAAATATCTTCACTGATTTTTACTGAACACTGGATTTAAAATGAGATGACTTGACTCATATATTGTTTTGAAAGCATGTTGTATTTTCTGAGATTTCATGACGTGGATTATGTGTGTTTCCTACTACTAAGTATTTATTTACCATTATTACTTACTGAGTTGGCGTACTCACATTACTCCCTGCACCTTGTGTGCAGATGCAGGGGCTGCTGGACGTACTAGCGAGCGTTGATTTTCATCTGTCGCAGATTTGTGGAGATTGCAAGGTAGCTGCACGGCGATCACAGCGTTGCTCTTCTCCTTATTATCTTCCTTACATATTATAGTGTTTCCATACTATATCAGTCTTAGTTTGTATCAGACAGTCCTTGGTAGACGCTCATGGCTTGTGACACCCCGATGTTGGGCTTTATTTCCGCATTTTGGTTTTTGACTTTATATCTTCTATGGAAATTTCAGTATGAAAAAGGTTGCTACTTAGATTTTAATGAAATGTTATATTATTTTGGGAACGTATCGATTGGCCTAGTTCCATGATAGGCGCCATCACGACCGGGTTGGTTTTGGGGTCGTGACAACTTACAAATGTCTTCAAGAAATAGTCAAATATTAGACCCCTTGTACCAATCTTTATGACAGTAATAAATTTATATTGAATGTCATGGTATCCCGCGACCACTGAATCTTGAGTCTACCTCAGGATAGTATGAACTTCCTTTTGAAGAAAAATGATTAAAAAAATATTTATTGCGTAAAATGTGTAGTGAAAATTGTGACTTTTCGGCCGGCGACATATGCACATTGCAAGGAAATCTTAATGTACTACTTATAAGACTATACTCCATTTATAAATATTAAAAGAAATCAACTTGCTAAACAAGAACAAGACATTAATACATGGAATTGACTTGACCTATTCAGAAGTATCTTCTGGGTAACATCCCTAGCTAGGGCGTCCATTGTATGCATTCTCTTAATAATTTTTGGTCCAAAATAAAATACAACTCGTTAACTTGTTGCTTCTATTTTTTTCCACAGAAGTTTGTAACTTTTCACGTTCATACATGTTTTACCAAAAAAGTCCTAAACCTTTTCTTAAAACGAATTAATGAGAAAATAGAGGGTGAATCCTAATTAAATATTATAACCATTAGATCTAACGTTTAGATGTATTGACGATGTAGGGCTGAATCCGAAAATGTTGTATGCCAACTACAAATGCTCAATGATTGTCAATGAATGTAGTAATAAAAGCATGCAATAAATGTAGATAATGACAATAAATGTAATAAGAAGGAATTTATCACCCAAATGTTAGATGACTTGGATGCTTCTCCTTCCTGGCAGTAACGTGGAGTAATATAAAATGAAGATGGACAAGGAATATTTGGATCTTGTGAATAAAAAGCGTATATCGAACAATGTAATCAGTGGATAAGACAAGCTTTTGTATATTCTTTATAGTCAATTTTTTACAATGTGCTCTTATAAAAAAATTGAGGATCCCTCTTTTGTTCTTTATCTCTTCCTATTTATAGGGGATATTCCTAAGAAACCCTAAAAAGTACAACAGAAAGAATATCCAATGGAATATTCTTTCTTTCTATTCTATACTTATTCTACCGTTGCTTCCGTAAATTTTTTGCTTGACCTCGGGACTAATCCCTCTTATGACGACTCCTCGCCCTTGTGCCGTGGTCGGCTTGATCCTCGACCACGTCCATTTGCAGTTATTAAGTCCAGTCCAAATTTTAACCAATACAGTTAGTACCTCCGCTTATTGAGGTCGTGATCTTGGACGTCCTCGATGAGCGGATTCTGTCTGCAACCGTTCAGAGGAAATTTAGTCGCGATGATTGAATCGAATCGGCCAAGGTCGAACTGGCGGCGTTGTTAGTGGGGCTGCGGTTGGTGTGGCTAACGTAGGATGACATCATGCCACGCGCGTCATCATTATGCGTCATCCCAATGCAGTGTCTATGCTGGTGTCGCTTCGATTTTGGTGCCATTGACGACTCTTTGCCTCGATTCCGGTGTTACCCAACCCTATAAATAGAGGAGAGGGCTTTCATTTTCGAAGCTTTTAGCATTTCCCCTTTTATATGCATATTGTTCTTCTTTTATCTTCTTCTTTGATCTCCACTTCCGATTTCTTACAGCTTCTTCAATTCCCGTCTCTGATTTCTTTCCCGGTTGATATCTTCTTTCTTCGACTTTGCTGTACACACTTTACTACGAAAATATATTAAATTCCCCTCATATTTACGATGGAGTCTTCGATGCCACTCCTATATCGGTGGCCATTCCTCCCGGCGGTGAGGAATCCATGGTTGAGGAGGAAGAAACCTTCCCCACCGTGGAGGAGGTGGTTCCTAAGAATCCTTTGGTCAGAAATGATTTCCCTAAGCAACTTGCTCCCGCTCCTTCTTAGGAGCTTTCTGAGACGGGGCCGCATCAAATAGCCGACCTCCGG